TTTATTGGCCTAAAAGCTCCGGTTAAATTTTTTACTTCATATATGGTAGCTGTAAGCAGTACAACGCTTACTGCTCAACCCCATTCAAAAAAACCTTCTAATTCAAATATCTTCTTCGTGTGACTCACTCCCTTACCGAAAACTAATTTAGCTTTTTCATTGAATATACTTCTATCACTTTTCTCCTACACATGTTCTAATCAATGGTAAATTACAACGCTTCCGACCAAATCATATTCTACTAAAATTGAAAGTTCCTGACGTAAACAGGTAAGCAAACAAGAACCACTTCTTAAAAAGCACTCTTGAAAATCCTTCACCTTAATCCCATTTCAGCATGAAGTCTCTAGCAGTTAACTACTAAATCCTGCCCATTTCAGTAGTCAGCACTTAACTCCGGTTTGACAATATAAAATTGTACATGGTAAGGCATTTTTCGTGCAGCTTAAAAAATCTGTGAATTTATCAATAAGGAAATGTTTTTTCTATCACAAACCAAAAAATCAAAAATCATTCAAAATTAGAACAGTCAGCTTCGCTCTCGCTATGAATCAAATAGAAGTTGGCTTTAAAGCGAAAAATTTGGAACCTTAAAAGCTTCAACTGTTTCACAAGATAGATAGTCTTTATAACTGCAGAAAGTTCAGGTAACTTTATTTTCATCAAAAAGAACCTATTACGTTGGCAGTCAGAAGATGAGGCAAATTTGATAGAACGCCTTCACACCAGAGCTGAGTTCGACTTTCCCACAAGTGATATCAGATGGTATAAATGCAGCACTGGATTGAACAAACTATGAAAACGTTTTTTTATGTTATGGAATTACTTGGGTTAAAAAAGCAGGTAAATTCTACAAAAAATTTGTTACATACTGTAATTCATTCTCCCATTCATACAAATGCTGCCATCAGAAAGCTAGCTGTCCTGTTGAAAACTGAAGGAAAACAGAAAAAAGCGCGAAAAACTTGTAGATGAAAATTAAAAACTATAAAATTCTAAACTAGAAAACTTAAAAATTTTTAAGAAACCATATAAAAATCGAGATCTGCATGCAATTTCACAAACAGATGCCACTATTTGGTTTTAGTTTTTTTTAAATTCAAATTCTAACTTAAAATGTAAGAGACGGCTTCCAACCAATTAAGAGAAACTTGAGAACTGGGAAAACTGAGTTTAATGACACAAACTCCTGTATCGCATCTGTCTTTCGCTATGTATTAATTACAAAAAACCTACATAAAGGTATATGCTGCTAACAAGTTTTCATGAGTTTCTTGATAAATGCGGGTGCAAACCACTAAAAAACACTAATATGTTTGAGCAGCCATTAACAAAAAAGCAACTTTTTTATATTCAAAAAACTTTGCCGCCAATATCCCACCTTTACAAAAAAAAATTTCCGGCGATTTACAGCAGATCTCAAAGAAAAGCCTCCTTTACGCCATTTCTTTGATTGTATCACTTATGAGAGAAGAAAACACACTGTCTCGCAAAACCCGCATTCGTGGAACGGTGCTGAGAAAAGAATGCCACAAGAAAAGAATGCCGGGCAACTTTTTTTCTTTTTTCACTGCCGGAGAGCAAACTTTAAGCTCCACGTAGAATTTAAGAAATTTCTAACTGCAGCAGAAACCAAATCCGTGAGACGCGGCGCACGCTTTATTTTTGCAAACAGACAACACCATGCCACCTCTAAAACTTT